ACAAGCGGCTTTCTGTGGAGGGCATTGCCTGGAAGGTGGCAAAGGCCAGACAGGTACCTGCAGCCCAGCTGCCACTCAGTGATGAGGCTGGCAGCCAAGCTGAACGCCAGCCTTTTCAAAAGCAGCCCTTTTGATAACACTGATTACATTTCCCTCACCAGAGCCTTGGGCTGATTGAGCAACAGCCAACTTCTCTGGGTAACAAAGAGGAGGGGAAAGTAATCCAAACACAGGTTTTATTATAAAAACCAGGGAGTGAGAGAAGTATGTTTATTCAGTAAGATAACACACCTGCTCGGTGCCCGGGAGGCTCATTTCCATCAGTTGCCATGGCAAACTCGTTATACTTCAAGGCCATGTGGCTTTGTTTCCTTTTGAGATCTGGTCCTTGTCCTACCTTTTCTAACAACTCCGACACAATGACATGGAAGCCTGCGACAGTATAATTGATTTCTCCTTCCCTCTATCAACGGTTCACATTTGTTCGGCACAGGACTGAGTCTGCCTCCTCCTTTGAACTCCTTGCTAAGCATGAAGGCATGCTTCAGGGAGCCATCCTCATTAACATTCCAGGTCCCTCTTCGCTGTCAGCAATAAACAAGCCCTGCATCAATGGCCTCCTTCCTTCCAGTTTTACAAATGAGTGGCTCAGTTCCACGTTTTGCTGCTGATCCAGGTGCCCAGGCGTACAATGCGGGCCTAGGAAGCACGCGGGAGAGACTAAAAATAGAACAGCAGTTTTGGACGCATACCAGAGCAGCTACTTCATCTCAACTTGCTTTGCACACTAAGCCTAATGGGATCCATCAGGCATGAGTCCTCTCCCGCACACACTCCCTCTCCCTCTCCCCTCTCTCCCCAGCCGCCGGCTTCCATCAGCGCCTTCCTGGTGAAGGGAGCAAAGGGAGGTCAGGCAAGGGACAAGAAATGTGTGCCCTTATGGTTTTAGTTTATAAGCCCTGAGAGATCTGGGGGCTGCAACTACTTCCATAAGAGAGTTTCTAGAAAAGAGCAGGCAGGCCCAGAACACAGTCACCTTTGCCCAGGTCCACTTTGGACCAAGACTCTCGGATTGTTTGGCAAAGGCTCAAATATCACTTCCTAATCACCCAGATAAGTATGAGCCAGACCCATATTCACATGTTCCTTGAGAAGTTAAATTGAGAACTAAACTACGCTGAGTGTTCCTCTTACACGTCCCGCCTGCTTGGCTTGAGGCTAAGAACGCGAGAGCAAATGCGCAGTCACGGACAGAGGGGCTGTGGCACACATGGGTGAGTTGGTAACATGTGATTGTCCAGGGTCTGCAAAAGCTACTCACATCCCACCAAGTAGCCTATGTGAAAGTGATTCTATCTGAAAGAATTTTCCAACAGAAAATGGAACAATTCAGTATGAAGTTAGGAACATGCTATCCTGCCTGGACACAAGGCCTCCCAGAATGCTCTCTGGGTTGACTGAGGTAGGCTCCTTTGTGTTGTTAATGTACCTCATAATAAAGGGTACCCTTCCTGCAGCCTCCCCTCACCCGGAGGAGAGTTGGCACGACTCTTACATTCCTCATTTCTCCATCTGAAAGGTAATACAGATGTTCCAAACAGCTATGTATTATTCCAAAAAGTGCCACTTTTGTAGAATCAGAAGTGTGAGAGAAAGGTGAATGTCACAGTACCTAAAAATAAAAACCTTTTTCCTTATTGTTATTTTGGATATTGGCCAGATAAAACTAAAAGAAATTGATCTAATAGCAGATTTTGTCTGTAAGCTTCAGGAAGGTGTCAAGACCTTAAATTATGCCTAGGTGTCATGTAATACCAGTATAAAATAAATATGCCAAACCACTTCAAGAAAAGTCAGATTCCAGGCTGGGCACAGTGGCTTATGCCTGTTATCCCAGCACTTTGGGAGGCCGAAGTGGGAGGATCTTTTGAAGCCAGGAGTTCAAGACTAGCCTGAGCAAGAGCAAGACCCTGTCTCTACAAAAATAGAAAAATTAGCCAGGTGTGGTGGCGCGCATCTATACACCCAGCTACTCAGGAGAGTGGGGCAGGAGGATTACTTGAGCCCAGAAGTTTGAGGTTGCAGTGAGCTATGTTGGTGCCACTGCACTCTAGCCCGGGTAACAAAAGAAAAGTAATACTCCATATAATCACAGCAATAATTAATTCCCCAAAGAATTTCTCACAGAACAAGTTGCAACATGATCATTTAATCCTCCAGCCACCAGAGGATGGAGGTTCTCTTCCCTCCAGGCCTCCCATGTTAGTGAGGCTCACAGTTTACCTCAGGGAGACACTGGGTCATTTGTTAAACAAATCTACCATCAAAAACCAGAAAGCTTTCTAGGCTCACCAAATAAATGCCTGCATCTGGAAACCAGAACATCTGGGTTCTAGTCCTAGGGTAAACTTTGAAAGCCACAATTTCTCTGGGCCCTGCTTTTCCCATGTATAAAACAAAGCTGCAGCGGTGTATGATTTCTAGGGCCTCTTACAGACTGGAAATTCCATAACAGAAATAAATGACCTGAGAATTTAATTGATTTGGGGGCTTTCTTTCTTCCTTCTTGGTTTTTTTGTTTGTTTATTTGGTTGGTAGGCTCATATAGAGCTATTTATCTTGAAAAACAGTGCATAATTCTCTGGGATGAGAGGCATTTCTTCTTTGTGGCATTTTCCCACAGTGTGACTTTCCTTCTCTTTTCATTTGCCACTGAGAGGTGGGTCTCACTGATTCTTCTTGCTTCATTAAGAAGAAACAGAAAGATCCTGTGTTTTGAGAGACTCTTTCTGGATCATTTCCCATGATCACAAGACTTTGCAATCCATTTGGCAAAGGTGATGGTGACAATGGGGTGTTTGGCAAAGTGGATGAGGTAGTGACGAAGCGGCTGGGGTTAAGAAAAATGCTCTTGGCAAAACATCATGAAACAAGGGTGGAATGTTCAAAATGAAGAACTTGCATCCCTTGCTGAGATGACTCTGAGAAAAACTTAGTCTTTAAAGAGGTGATTTATTTAATAGGAAACAAAGAAAAGGGTACCAACAGCAATAATTTTTCTGAGCACTGAGCTGAGAAATTGCTAATCTAATGCTTTGATTGTAGCCAGGTACTGAGACGTCTTTGAACAATATAAAAGTTAAACTAGACAGGCAGGTATTTTGAAACCAGTCATTAAGATTAAAAATTACATTTAAAATTCTAAATTAGTCACTAAATATTAGACAAGAATCTAACCTTGCATTCCACAAACCCACCCGAAAATTGGTTGAGGTCTGAATAAAGCCTTGGGGCTGAGATTATTTTTATGAAGTCAGCCCTACCCCACTTTCACCCCAAAAATATCTAAAGATGAATGCATGAGGACCAGGATAAACATCTAAATAAACCAAGTGTTAATCTTAGTGTCAGTTTTCTAAAATAGTTGTTAACATTTTTTTGATGTTGGTGGTCATCAGATTTCATAGAAACTTCAGAGGCCAAGCTTTCATCAGTTGGCCAGGTGGTTGTGTGTGTGTGTACTTTTGTTTGTTTTTTTGCTACCAGTGCTACCAGCTGTAACACTTTAATGACTATTCATGGAACACCAGGGACCTTTGCTCGTCAACCACCTGGGGTAGGAAAAGTGGAAGGAACAAGTGGTTGAGAGCTTAGGACAGGTCTCTGAAGGGAGGATGGGTAATAACATCACATTGCTAAATCTTTGCAAACTAGAAACATTTCAGAGTAATAATTGCTAATGTGATTTTATTTACAAATGTTCGTAACTCTTTAATGATGGTGTCACTTCAGACCAAAAAAGATAATAAAAAGAGAGAAAGAAGACTCGAAGTTTGTGTTTGGCATGTTTTCCATGCACTTCGAGTTAACCAAACAAGGCAGTTCTACCAGGTCTTAAATACTACCAGAACTAAAGGTACTTATAAAATCTTACAAATGAGTACTTAAGTTACGCAAGTTTTTCTTTTCTTTTCCTGTTTTTTAAAGAACACAGACATTCACCTTACCCAGTAGGCATCTAAGTTATAAAGAAAATGAAACTAGCATTTTTTGCAATTCATTAGCAATGTTTCTTATTTATAGTTGACAAATATTCGTCCTTTCCCTGTGGTGGCATATAAGGATTGAAGTATCTTGCAGCACAAGTGAGCCTTGTTTAAGAAGTTAGGTAGGCAGAGAAGGAAGGGGAAGCAGTAGCTTTTACTCCCAAAAAGTCTTCATTGGCCTACTAGCTTGGGCTATAATAAAAACCATCCCACCCTGCTCTATATGTAGATTTTATGTACATCTATCCGTATCTTATATATGGGTATGTGTATGTATTCTTTTTTTTGGAGATCAGATAATACTTCCAAAATTATTAACCTGAGGATATTATTGAAAATATTAAAAAAAGAAGAAAATGTCTCTGTTAAGAAAATGTAAATATTTATTCCCTGTGGGATATATAATTATGAAAACTCAGTCGCTCCTCAAAAGAGTATCTAGAATTTAGGTCCTAGACTTCAAACCTTTTAGGGTGATTAGAGATGCTTTTGTCCATGTCATTTTGTGAGAGAGTCCCTAGGGTCTCAGAAAAGTGAAAGGACTTATGAAAGGTCACACAGCTAATTAGTGATGGAACCAAGACTAGAACACAGGCCTCCCAACCTACAATTCTAGCCTGCATTGTATACCCCCTGTCACTTCATACACATACACAGGTATTTTTACTTATTCAGTCAGATCCTGAGAACCATGGTCATACTATTTGGAATCATGGTTGTAGGCTGCACAAAGCTGTTTTGTTAAAAATCTCTACTGCAAGAATAAAGCTTTCATGCTTATGTTAAAAGGATTGTTTAACTATCTGACTTCAATCCTTTAATATGAAGTAGCCTGTTACATTTATCTAATATTATATCTAAACAGCTTTGTTGATGTCCCTGGAAGCAACTGCCCATATCATTATAAATTAATATATATCTATCTCCTCTGAGATAAGTGAAACATAATCTTAAAAAAGAGTAAACATTTTATTATTTGTACATGAATCAGTGTGGTCTGAGGACACACGCATCTGGCTAGCTCATGAAAGTAGCCTGACGTGACAGGACAGTGTCCGTAGTATTTACATTTGGCGCAGTATCACTTATACCCTCTACTTGATAAGCCCAGCAGGCCCCGAATGGAGACATCAGACTGCTAGGAGGCGCGTGTTGGACACTGGCACCGCGGTGGGTTTGTAAAAAGCAGGGAATGCAGGGCAGCCACAGCCTCCACTTGAAAGACGGGGTCTGTAGAGGTGTCGGGAGGAAGAACACTCTGCAGAACAGGTTTTCTGGGGGCCCAGGGGCCTCTCAGGGAGGGACGGAGAAACAAACAGCCAGGAGTGCTGCCCACCAGCCTCGGCTAGAATAATGCTCATCAGAACAGGGCCCCAGACATGGCATGGCCCCAGTGACCTGCAGATGGAGGCTGTCACAAGGGCACCACCTGCAGGGTGGGCAGAGGCCCCCGGGGAGGAGCCACATACTCTTCCTCTCTGAGCAGCCGCAGCAGGATGTTGTTTTTATTCTGGGGCCAGCTGTAGACGTGAGTGTTCTGAAGCCAGGTGGGCACGTGCTCCTGTGAGAGAGAGAATGACAGGAGCAAAGGTCATTAGAGAAAAACCTGGATTCCAGATCCCAGGCTCGGTTCCCAAACATCTCTGGCTTTCCCTACATGGGCGTTTCCCACCAAACTATCCTGGGAGTTGTGCTGTTTCGCTTTTGGAAGGTTTAGCATGTGAAATGTTCTTGGCTTCGGGTGCAAGCTGTGTATTTCATTATAAAAACCACATGTGCGCAGCATTTTCTGTCAGTCTCCCAGACTACCTACCCTTGGCGTTTCAACGTGCTTTTCACCACCCTCACACAAAAGGAGTGGGACAGAGGTCACACAAAGTGACGTGAATTCCCTGTGATTTCACAAGAGGTATGCCAGGGCTGTGGGCTTAACCTATAATAATTCATGATCCTTTCACTCCAGCCCCAGGCTGGGCCTGTGGTGGGAAGTTCCCATCAGACCTCGCCTATTAGGCAAAGGCAGAAGCTTTAGCCAGGGATCCTGCGCGCAGTTGCAGACTGCCCTCAGGGAGTGGACATTCTGGTGGGCAGAGGCAGTGAATACATAAAGAAAAAGCATAGTGTGTTCAACAGTGATATGTGCTGTGGAGAAAAATGAAACAGAGAAAGGGGATAGGGAGTTCTGGGGCAGGGGTGAAAGGCTTGCAGTTTTAAACAGGGTGCTTAGGAAAGGTCTCACTGAGAAAATGAGCAAAGACCTAAAAGAGCAGAGGGAGAGAGCTTTGTGGTTGTCAGGGTCCAGGCAGCTAGAAGAGCCAGTGCAAAGGCCCTGTGGCGGGAGTGTGCAAGTCCTGTTCAAAAGCAACAAGGCCCGTGTGGCAAGAGCAGAGTGAGTGAGAGTGAGTAGATAAGGACGTCTGGAAGTAGAGGGGGCTGCATGAGGTAGCACCTTGTAGACCACTATAAGGCCTTTGGTTTTTACTCTGAGATGAGACTCCTTTGGGGACTGTAGGATGAGCTTAGAAGCAGCACCTGCTGTATGTCAGGCATCCTGCTGGGAATTGAGGATACCAAATGAAAAAGACACAATAACTGCCTTGAGGGCTTTGAATCTTATGATGGAGGAGAAAGGTAAAGAAACTATTTCTAGGCAATGGCGTACCAAGGGGGCAGGTGGTGAGAGCAGTCTGCCCTCAGCTCAGGCAGTAAGGGGAGTGTCTGAAGGAGATTTAGAAAATAACAATAAAACCAACAAAACTTGATCTGTTTTTTATATCACCATGCTCCAGTAATGCTAAACAATTATTCTCAGCGCTCCCACCCCCAACTACGTACCACTGACTCAAGGTTCTATAGTAAAGAGAGAGACAATGAAATATATCAGCATGGGGGAGGAGAGGTGTCAGGGGAGACTAGAGGCTGGGTGATATAAAGATAAGCAAGAGTTCGCTAGGTGACAAGTTAGGGAAAGGTGTTGCAAGCAGAGGGAGCAGAAAGGGCAAAGGCACAGAGACACAAAAGAAGATGGCATGTGTGAGGACGTGCTGAAATAGTCCAGGATGACCACAGCGTACAGCATCTGTGCAGATGGTAAGAGATAAGACAGAGCAAGGGGGCACGGTCCTCTCTGAGAAGCCTCATAGGTCATGCTGAGAAAGGTAGATATGATCTTACAGTCAGCAGGAAAACACCGCAAAATTTTTAAGCTGGAAAGAGACAGGTCAGACCTATGCTTTGGATGCTCCTCTTCGATGGTAGAGCAGAGGATGGCTAAGACAAGGTCCAAGTGGAGACAGGCAGACCAGCAAGGAGACTCAGTAAGTGAGAGCAATGAGACCGCAGGCGCGGGAGGGGCAGAGAGATGGAAAGGTGTGCTGTCGTGCAGGTTACGCACCACGCAACCCGAAGGGTGCCATTCACATAAATTGGACCCTCCCTCTTCAAGGGCAGAAGTCTCAATGCCATGCTGACACCTAGGGATCCCTCCAGGGTGAAGCCGGGCCTGAGCTCAGGGCGCTGCGGTCTGATTCTCAGATGTTTACTCCACCACGACCTGCTCTTTGCCAAGCCCGGAACACGGCCTCCGATGATTTTGCCCCCATTCTCCAAATCTGCCCCGCATCCCCTTTTAGTGCAAAAACTCTCATATGAACCACAGCAAAGTTCACTCTGGTAACTGTGTAGATTACATTCCTGTAATCTATGGCTTTTAAGAGCTGAACTACGTGCAACAAAATACTTTAGTGGAAGAGCCAGCAAAAAATGTACACATCTTGACTTTTATGTACAAGAGATAAGAAGTATCAGATGAACATTCTCTTTTTCTCTCAAGAGTTAAAACACAAACCACTTCTTTGTGTGCAAGGGCTGTTTGAACAATTAGGACAGCATGATCCTATCAGATAGTGCTTTAAAACCTTTCTGATTCATGCTGCTGAATTGAGTAGTACAACTTGTTGGTCTTTCTGGTGACATTGTTATCTCCAAGGATTGATGAAGAGTTGACAAGGTTTTCCACTCAAAATCCAGATGGCAAACAAACCAAAGATTGAATTACAAGGATTTTGTTTGTTTGTTTACCTTCTTAGCATTTGGGAAGAGCACAGGGATGAATCTGAAATTCATGCTTCCTTGTTTTATGAACTCAATCTGCATCTGAAACCAAACAGATTTGAAGATTTAACTGCAGGAATGAGGATGAGGAGTTAATGGTGCCCATAATCATGCAAGCCCACATGGTACTTTCATTCTGATTTCCTTATTTGCGTGCCACACATTTGTAATTTTAAGCCCTCCCCATCACACATCTATGCCATTTGCTCATTTGTCAATCATTTATTGAAGGCCTATTAAAAGTCATACCCTGTGCTAGACTCTGGGTTTTGAGAATGAGGGTGAGCTAGAGCTGGCTTGTTTCAGCTCACGAGAGCCTGCTGTGTGCATCTATTCCCAACTCTGTGCTCAGTGGCTTCACATTAGTAGCTTCAAATGGGCCATGGTGAGAGTATTTATACCACGGAAATGGGTAAACGCTGTAAATCAGGACAGCCAGTTTGGCAGAACACCCTCCCCATCCTCACACAGCCAGCAGTCTAGTGAGCAGGCAGAAGGGCAAGTGCCCCAACCAACGGGCAGTGTGAAAAGTGTGAACAATTGCTGTGGGAGCCCAGAATGGGGGCCACTGATTCTGCATCAGGGATCTGAAGGACAGTTACAAGAGAGGGGTCATTTGGGTACTGAAAGGAAAGATTTTGGTCAGGTAAGGAAAATGGGGGAGAGGGGAAAGACATTCTCAGCAGAGGAAACAGCATGAGCAAATGTCTGGAGGTGTGAACGTGTGTTAGAGTGGGTGGGACCGGCTAATGATGTACTGCAGCACAGAATGGGCTTGGTGGAGAGGCAGGTGACAGGGCCAGGAGGTCACTTCAGAAGAGCTCTGACTGTTGAGTATTAGGGTGCCCACACTTGTTCCAATTTGCTCTGACACTGTGGTGGCCCAAGAAAGTTTAGCGGCCAAGAACTCAATCAAAATCAGAATTTTCAATATGAGGGAAGTTAGAGTCTTTCAAATCCTGTGACCAGCACAAAGCTTTCAGTCATCTGGTGACAAGGAGATGAGGAATTATGTGTTCCCGACTATTTCATCTTCCAACTGATTTTTATAACAGAGAAGTTTTCATTGTGCATGGGAATATAAACAGAACAGAGAAGAAAGTGACAATAGTGACAACTGGTTATTGAAATCACCATGGAAACCCCTCATAAACACGTACTCGCACATACTTACACATACAATCACGCAACACACGCAGATCCTTCACAAGGTGTTTTCTCAGAACCACCTGCCTTCCAGAATTAGAAGACAACACCAAGAACGTATTTTACAGTGACCCAAGTACCACGCAACTCAAAGCACCAACCACGCCAGCACGGAGTAAACCCATGAAAGGAAGGGCAGAGAGTTAATGAGTTAAAAGTGAAGAAGTGAGTTTGGTTTCTGACTTCTAGGATACTGTTTACTGTAAAGTTTGGCTTGTTTACTAGGCTACCCAATCTGTTGAGGGGCTAGCCAGCAATAGTATTTTCTCTGATATTTCCAGATACTGGCTTTCTGTGAAGTAGTTTGCTCTATGATGCAGTTACTAGTGGGTACCTCTTCACTCCCTCTGTTAGGGCCAAGTTCTTATGGTCCCAGCGTTTTCTGCTGCCTAGAAGGGTCCAGGAAATTAGCCAGGCAGGCAGGAAGGCACTTCTGTATCAACCCTTTCTGTGCTGAGGAAGGGCCCAAGAAACCAAGTTTGGAGACAACCTGGTTACAGCTGGTACTGTCAGACAAGCTCTGAAGTTGAGCTGTGTATTACTGTCTGGCTTTGCACACACCAGCAGAGCTAGACAGGTTTCCTTAGGTACTGACAGGGACCTGGAGCCCTTCCCATGTACCAGTCGTTGGCTCCTGGGACTAGCAGGTTGCTAGAGATGCAGACAGGACATCAGGTGCTCTGGGGCCATGCAGATGTGCAGCAGACAGTCAAGGGATGGCAGCACCCAGAGCCAGCCATGACCTTTTAAGGCAGTTTACTTCCAGAAATGATACCTTTTATGGGTCCTGCCCATGGGCTGTCAGACTAGTTGAGATTGGAATAGGAGGGAGACTTATCTCCTGAATGCTTGGCCTTACTTTTTAACCTCACCACCTTGCTTTGGCTTTGCTTAGGGTTGGTTGTGAGCTCAAATGGGTGGTCTACACTGGGTGGAAAAAGAGACAGAGACCCTGATGATGAACATCCTTTCACCCATCCACCCAATCTACCCTTTTCCTATGCTCCTGACGCACAGGGCAGACCTGGGACTTAAGTCTTCTTTCCCTGACGTAAAGCTGCATGTCCCGAGACTACCTGACTGCTTTCCGCCCCATCTTCCCATTTAGCCAGTGATCCTTTCTGCCCATTCCAGGTGCCTTCCTCCCTTGTGGAGTGCTAGGGATGAAACAGAGTTCATAAGTCTTAGTCCAGTGATTTTTCAAGCCTCTTTACACCTCAGAATGCTTGGTAAACAAAAGCCTGAGGAATGCAGACCAGCTCTGGTTGAGGTGGGAGTGGGAGGCCCAGAGACAACCTTTTCTCCGGCACATGTGGGCACCCCTTAGAGACTCTGGGACAGTTTGAATTCACAAGTCTGGTCCGGCATCCTAGTTAGGCAGAAACTCTCCATCGTGTCTCAATATTCATGGAGAGCGGGAGGATTGGTGACCCACAAAACAGCCAGTTCCAAAGCTTGTTGATATTTTTGGTCAGAATGCTCTACAGATGCTGAGCAGGTCCAATATCCTATTAATTTCTCCCACTGCTTTTAATTTGACCAGGCCCCACAGTTCAAGTGTGGCAGTGGAATGTTCCCCACCGATCATGAGCTAAGAACAATCCCGTCCCCTGATTGAGCATCCAATATGTGCCAGGTACTTCACAAATGTTATTTCATTTCATCTTCACAACAACACTGTAAGTATTAGTGACCCATTTTGTGAACAGTGACACCGAGTCACAAAGAGACGTAAGCAATTGGGCCGCAGTCACACAGCCTGTGCATGAGGAAGCCAAATCTGACCAAGCCCATCTGATGCGACAGCATGTGTCCTTTTCACTATGCCACCCCACCTGGAAAGGCAGGGGACAGAGTATGGTACAGCTGTGGGAGCCTGCCCTCCCCACAGCCCCGTCGCCTGCCATCCTAGGACTTCACATTCGTGGGTAAACGAAGCAAGCCCGCAGAGCAGTGCTTTCCAGAATCTTGGGTCTTAGAGAGCACAGATTGGTCTCCCCTTGTCATTGATAGGAACCTTAGTCCCCAGAGGTGCAGTGACTGGCCCACAATCCCAAAGGTAGAGGAGCCAGGACCAACATGTCCTCTCCCAACATGGCAGGCCCGGGGTTCTTCACCCAGCCTCCTGCTGCCTTCAGTCGGTCTCTGGTGAAGAACAAGACTTCACTGGACAAAGCGCCCATCCCCGGGGCACGGTGAGGTGCTGTGGTCCCCTCCCCACTCACCATTCGATGAATGTACTTAGTATGTAGGCCATGCTCATCCTCGTCCAGCTGCGACTCTGCGCCTTCTACATCCTGTTTGTATTTGGGGCTGATTGCTACGATTATCATCACCGTCTTCTGTTAATGAGAGGGAGGAAAGCATGTTTATGGAAGTGTAAAGTGTGGTCCGTTTGGGGACGGCGGGTTGGAAACTGGCCAGCAGGACTATGGGCGTTCTCTGGCACGCTCAAGGATGAAAGGCCAGGCTCGTTCTCCACGGAAAGTGAAAGGCACTGGCCCCCACTCAGCCAGACTCTTGTCTCTGCTTCTCCCTGCCCAGTTCCCCTCAGAGACGCAGCGCAAACGGCTCAGAGAGGAGCTCTCCTAAATAGATGTGCTTTTGCCACCATTTTCTGTAACCATCACTAATAAATGTCTAATGAAAGCCTGAATCTCTAAGTGAGTCTGCATCGTGGCAAAAAGGTGCGGCAACATCAGCGATGAAAAACCCCCTCCCTCCCCACAGCTGGATCTGCGCTGCCCGTTACTGCGCTCTGGACTGCCCTGCTTGCCGTGTGCACGCGTTAGCGCAGTCAGTAGGAGCAGACCCTTCAGCACAAAGCAAACATCAGGCTCCAGATAAAAGGAAACGCTGCAAAACCCCGGTCTGCTGAGACTCCCGTTTCCCATCGGCTGCCTCAGAAAGAAGCAGCCGACACCAACAAGCTGGCAGCAATCAATTTCTGTCTTGTTAAAGCACAAAGTGTCCTAGTGGCAGGTATAGATTCTGTCAATGGAGAACAGATCACGGGGCTGCAAGTGGGCGCCTCCGGGGTGCTGTGCTGCGTAGCCTATGAGGCTGCCCAGGAAACCTCTTCAGCCCAATCCTACAAAACACTTGGGGTGGCCTCGGATTAAATTGAATTCCGCTGCTCTCTCCTCACTCTCCGTCTTCATTTCCTCTTTTCCTATTCTGGTCAAAAAATTGTTTGCTCTGATTGTTATCAACCACCTGTGTCTGGTTTGATCGCTATTTCCTGCCTGTGCATGTTCAAGAGGGTGACCCCATCCTTCCTTTCCAAGTCTCTGCACGGCTTCCAACAAGGGAGGCTTTGTCGGGCCTTTCTCAGCTTCAGACTTGGGTGGGTATGCCAGTGCTTCTTTCATAAAATAACTTCATGAGCTAATTGTCTTTCTCACCAGAAAACAATCTCAGAATTTTGGAATGTACTTACATCCCTAAGGTAGCGCTCCATCCATTTAATGATGTCGATGCCTCGGATTCTATCCTCAAATATGTCAATCTACAAGAAAAAGATGGGAGGTGGCTCTCAATGACAAGCTTTCTCAAGATGCAGAGCACGAGAACACAAGAGACTAGATATGTTTAAAATCCAAAATGTTACTAATGCATTTTGCAAGGAGGAGCACATAAGTCTAAAAAACAAAATATAATTTTCTTAAAATATTCCCTATTTCAACATTAATGGGCATTTAAGTATTTAATATCCATAATTAGGATATAGTGATATACATCAAAATATATCTATGACTACAAAATAATTATGTTTTCAAAAATCTGAGGAACACTGTATCCAAGTTGGATGTAAGCCAAAAATACACATATATTATATTTTTATATATATATATATATCTGTAACTTAAAAATTTGAAAGGCAAACATAATTCTGGAACATTTTAATGGATGTGTGGCATGCAAGTACTGAGATATAATTGTAGTGCTTTACTTGCATTAGTCAGGTCATTATTATGGTATTACGTCCAGTTTCGATCTATATGTTTCAAAAGGATTATATGAAACTTGGAGCAGATCCAAGGAACGGTCACAAAAACAATTACGGAGATGGTACGGGAAGGTTTATGATGAAAGTCAAGAAGTAGAACCATTGGGCTTTGAAAAGACTGATATTTAATATCAATCTTCAAGTCTTCAAAGACTTGAAGGAGTATTTAAAGAGGAGAAAATCAGTTATTTTCTATTTTGCAAAAGGCCACATGATAAGGTCTTTCTCGGGCTCAGGCTTGTACTGCAACCAGAGAGTAGTGTTTGCATGTGTGTGTGTGTGTGTGTATACGAGGTGCTCTTGACTGGAAGAGGGATTATACACCGGAATGGATGATTCAGGAAGAGTGTCCTTGGGGAGGGGTTATTTGATTCAGCCGCACTGCTCCCAGATTAATTGTCCTAAATGTCACTCCACCGTTTAGGCCTGATCAAGTCAAGACTCAGCCATTCAGTAAGCTTTCTGTGCCATCTATGATCCAGCCTTACCTCTCTTTTCCCCACACGCCCTGTCTACCCACATTGGTGCCCCCCGCACCCGAACAGCACAGCACACGCCCTCCCTGCTCTGTGAATCCTTCCCACACACTGACCTCCTCCTCCTCCTCACTTCACCTAACTCCACCCCATTGTGACCACGAGTGGTAATGGACTATTAGCACATTATGATAACATTCTTTCATTTACCAAATGTCTCATTTGTGTCTGCTTTGTCTCCTCAATCTGACTCTAGACTTCCTATGGAAAGAGATCATGCCTTGCTTACACCAAACTGTCAAACACGTAGGCACATAATACGAGTTCAGAACGTTTCTTTACTGATAGAGCATAAAATATGGAATGGCTTTCCTTTTGGTTTGGATGACTCCTGTTTTTAAATGTGTGGTAGCCAATGACTACATTGGGTAATCTTGAGAAAGCTTTTGTAGCTCTCTGTGACTGTCTCAGCTATACGTTTCTTTTTTTTTTTTTTTTTTTGAGACAGAGTCTCACTCTTTTGCCCGGGCTAGAGTGAGTGCCGTGGCGTCGGCCTAGCTCACAGCAACCTCAAACTCCTGGGCTCAAGGGATCCTTCTGCCTCAGCCTCCCAAGTAGCTGGGACTACAGGCATGCGCCACCATGCCGGCTAATTTTTTCTATATATTTTTAGTTGTCCGATTAATTTCTTTCTATTTTTAGTAGAGACGGGGTCTCGCTCTTGCTCAGGCTGGTTTCGAACTCCTGAGCTCAAACAATCCGCCTGCCTCGGCCTCCCAGAGAGCTAGGATTACAGGCGTGAGCCACCGCGCCTGGCCTGCAATACGTTTCTATTACGTGAGAGAGAAGCAATAGAATAACAGGGTTGAGAAGAGATGAGCAGCTTGGTTCTGCTCTTGGCTCTGCCACTTCCACCTGCATGACCTTGGAAATGTTATAAAACTCTAAGTCTTATTATGTGCATTTGTAATATGTGGTTAATAAACCTACTTCCTAGGGTGGTCATGAGGATTAAAATGAGTTACAATGAAAAGGCACATCATAATGCCAGGTATGAAGTAAGCACTCTATAAATGGTGATTATTATATTATTATCCCAGCACCTAAATTATTCCCAGCTACTGAGGTAGACATTCTGGGAGACATAATAAGCTGGATGTCTTCCTTTTGTCTCTCCAGATCTCTACCCAAATCCACAGCTCCTGTCCTGACAATTTCACCACTGTTACGGGCTCAATGTGTCCTCCCAAAGTCGTATGTTGGAGCCCTGACCCCCAGTACCTCAGAATGTGATTTTATTTGGCAATAGGCCTTTAAAGAGGTAATTAAGGTAAAATGAGTTCATATGGATGGGCTGTAATCCAATAGGCCTGGTGTCCATAGAAGAAAAGATTAGAACACAGACGTGTGCACAGAAAGGAGACCATGTGAGGACAGAAGGAGAAGATAGCCATCTACGAGCCAAGGAGACAGACCTCAGGAGACCAACCCTGCTGAAATCTTGATCTTGGACTTCCAGCCTGCAGAACCATGAGAAAATAAATCTCTGTGTTTAAGCCACCCAGTCTGTGGTACTTTATGGAAGCCCAAGCAAACAAATACAGCCACCCTCCTCACGTTCTAGTAACCAATTTTCCCTTGCCTCTTTAGACCGAGGGGCAGTAACAACTCCCTGCTTTCGCTAGTGCCAGGATACTGCACTATTCCTAATAAAACTGGATTCCCTAAAACCTACACAAAGCTTTGTAATAGTTCCTTTATTACACTCTCCTTAAATTACCCATTAAGTGTTTCGTTGCACTAAGGGAATCTTGATGTATTAGTGGTAACTTTGCTGCTCAGGACAAGGCTCTGTGATTTCTACCACAACACTTCCCAGTGATGAGGGTCAAGGACAGATTTAAATTCTGCTTAAGCACTCTGATTGTTAAAATAAAAAAAAAACCTCTGAGCTCTTCTCTAGGGCCAATCAGTATGCATTTGGAAATGACAAAAAGTAAGATCTTCTCTGAAATGTTGGCCTTATGTCTTGTAATTTGATTATTTATTTATTTTAGAGACAGGGTCTTGCTATGTTGCCCAGGCTGGCCTTGAACTCCTGGGCTCAAGCGATCCTCCCACCTCAGCCTTCTGAATAGCTGTGATTTACAGGCATACAGGTCACAGTTGCCACATTACTGTCTCATTCCAGGAATGAGGAAGTGAAATGTTAGTTTCTATATAGTCATGAAGTTGGAGTGTATAAATCGTATGTTTTTTTTTTAACTTTTAGATACTGCCATTAAAAATATTATTTTATATAATAAAGTTTCAAAAAAAGAAAGTTTCAAATAAAACTCCTGTTAAACAATGCTAACTAAACTTTAAAACTGATATTTAGTTGCTAAGTATTCTTCTTTATCCTTTGACATTCCTAGTCATAGATATTTCTCTTAATTTTTCACCACTCTCCAGTATTCACTAGAAGAGGCCTAAAAGAGGCCTCTGGGAAGGAAAAGAAGTGATCTCAGTGATTGAGAAAAGCCAGTCCTGTGGCATTTCATTTATCCCAAAGAAAAACTTACATGGCTTTAAGTTGTGTCAAGGGGCTTCAGGGGGACAGAAGTGTGTTCTTCCTGAGATTCCCTGGGCCAAGATCACAGTGGCCCTGTAGGGCTGGGTGAGGTCCTCCTCCCCTTCCTACATCTAGACAAGACCAGGTGAAAACCCAGCCCTGTATTCCCTGTCCAGAAGCATTGCAGCCTCTAGGTGTGGGGTGGCAGCTGTGCACGGTGGGGGACCCAGGCTACAGGGGTTGGACTTCAAGCCTCTAACACAGGGCAGAACAAAAGGACCTTGTTAAATAAGCAGGCAACCGTGGTGAAGCCTGCAGCTTCCTGCATCACAGGAAGCTCAGCCAAAAGCAGACGTGGTTGGTGAGAAAGGGCAAAGGTACAAAGTGCAGCCACAGCCTAACGTTTCCCTCAGGCCCAGGTCGGGGCCAGCTGCATATGTGATTGACTTTACTACTGTTCTAGCCGTTCAGAGGGACTGAGGGTCATTCGACAAGCGTAAACGAAAAAAATGCTGGAGACTTTGGATAGTTTAAAATCTAGAAAATAATTACCTAAATCTATAAGCACTCAGTTCATAATCACATAAATCAAATAATATCATTTAAAACATCAACAGCTATTGTACTTTTTCTTTTCTTTTTCATTGTACTCACCATAACTGTTCAGTTACCTATTGGGATAAAATACTTACTGCAGTTTGGAAGCCATTTACCAACAAAAAGTTCACAAACTTCACCACCTCCATGGCCGTGTCCAAAGAATAAGTGATAAAGACTTTTCCTAAGAGAAAATTTCCACATTTATTAGAAACTAGTCAAATTATTCTATTCCAAACAACATTTCTAAATTGTATGCAATGGCTTTTGTTCTTCTAGAATAATAAATGGAAACCTTGGGTTGGGGGTGGTCTAAGTGTGGGTTGCTGTCCTCAGGGCATAGCTCTTCAAGCCCAAAGGGGCAGAGGTCTGTCACTGCTTAGCATGAATGGAAATCAGAGGGACAGAGTCTCGAGAGCCCTGGCAGCCTGAGACAAGCCTAAGAGGTCTTCTGAAAAACCACATGAAGGGTTAACAAAAAATCCACCACCCAGAACTTATGGGTCCTTAAGATCAGGCCACCGCCTGATTTCTTAGAGATACTTTGGCACTACGCCCAAGGAGTACTCTCGCAGCAGGCCAAGAAGCTAAGACTCGCTAAGGGGCCACCCAGCAGTGTCCTCTTTTGATCTCATGATGCTCTCAGCTGCCCTGAACTCTTGTGTGACAAGAGCAAGTGGGGGTGGGGGAGGAGTGAGAAAGCAGTTCCTGCTCCTTTCTCCCCTCTCCCTGACCCCATCCACTCACTTTTGGAGAAAGGCCAGGAAGTTGGCTTCCACTAAAGCACTGCTCAGAAATGTTAGTAAAAACTTCAGCAGCTCGAAGGAGAGAGGCCGCCTCTGGGCAGTCCAACAGCACAGGCTCCCTCACTCGTCCGGGGTCGGCTTAGAGCAGCAGGCTGCCGTCTTGGACAAGCTTTCCCGATCAAGATGAGAACCAGTGTTTCCTCAGGCTAAAGTCTTGGGGAAAATGTCTGGCTAGCATTTTAATGTGAGAGCTGAATAATCTCTGTATGTTGGCTTTTGGTCTGGAATGGGCCACTTAAATCTCAGGAAGCCCCTAGGGCAGAGGGTGGAGAAGAAAGGCAGGGTGGAGAGAAAATACGAGTCTGTATGTTTTCATCCATGCTTAGGCTCTTGTTTGTTGAAACACACCTCTCAGATGAAGGTGCGTATAATGGTCACGTTCACTCGTTTAAGCAGTCAGGCATATCGATGGCACTGAATTTATTTTCTTCTCAGCACCTAGTATTCACCCAATTCCCGTGTAATTTCAGACTCCCTTAATAGATTATGGTAAGATATATATGATCTGTAGACTGATAGCAGCACTATATCCTATGCAGGGCGGCATCCATTCTCCAGAAAGCCTCAAAATTAAAATGTATAAGGTTTTATGAAAAGGTTCAGAAATAAAATTTTTTGAATGACAACAGCTGTGAGTCATTGTCACAGAAATCTTTCAGCATTGTCAATGAAGGAATCAGCAAATACAAAGGGCTTCATTTCAAGTTTGGTTCAAAGAGGTTCCCAGACTTGAGAAGTGCATTTTAGAATTACCTGAGCTTCTCTAGCAAGCACAGGAGATAATTTCACAAATAGTGGCTGTTTTCTTAAGATTCTTGGAACTTACTGTCCTAACTGACCTTTACTATGAGAACGTTTTGGTGGTATTTCAACATTTCTGGTTCTGGCAGCAAAATGTGGAAAAAGAATCATCACCTGATGCTTAGTCGAATGTTTCTTTAAATAAAAGGCTTAGCTTGCATTTGGTTGCGAAGCAGTACAGAGAGTGTGAGACCATTTTTTTCCAAACAGGATTGCTCATTCCTACAGGAAATGTCCTCATTCTTGATGGTTGCTGCTAATTTATGGTGAGACACTAGGACCCTATCCAATACCACATGGACATGCCCAGGGACAAGTCCACTCAAGAGTATCATTTAGAAGAGTGAAAAGGTGTTGGAGTTATTTGTTCTTAGAGATGTGTTCAAGGAAATCTAGAGGTAGGCAGTTTGTGAGCATTACGGGTAGTGTTAAAATCACTCAAAACATTCATAAAAAATGCTGGTTACTTTTTAAATTTTATTTCACTGTGTATATGAGAAATATCTCGATTGTGGATGAATGATCATCAAGTACTGTCAAAGTACGAGACCTGAACAAGAAGAAAACAACATTGCAAACAACTTACGCAATTCTTCTGGCAAATTGCTTGTTTTCAGAGTTCCTCTGGCTGGAGGGTTACTAGGGGGTCTAGGCACAGCAGCTGGGGACAGAGCCTGGGGACCCTGTGGTCTCAGTTCTGCAGGACACTCCAAGGACTCCTCAGGAGCTCCAGCTCTATTATGTGGCTGGTGATACAGCTGGTCCCTGGAAAGGGATACATTTACAGTCAATTTTCATGTTTTACAAAGGCAAACCTGGAAAGACAGAAAGCCTTTAAGAATGATGGCAAGATACAAGTGAACTATCTTTCTCCTCTGCCTCCGTTTCTTATCTGAGACAGAAGGAAGAGGGGAGCTCTGTGGTGTTTTGGTCAACAAGCCTGCAGCTGGCTGCCATGTGTAAGGGCCTGAGCTAGGGGTTGATAGAGGGAAGCGGGATTTGATTTCTCTATTCAAGATCTGTCTAACTGGAAAAATAAGTCTCAGGCACAGGGCAGACAAGGTCACCAGCAAAACAAAGTAGTATGACAGGTGATATGGATGGTTAATGTTACAGGCATTTAGATAAAAAGACATGACTTTTAGCTCATAATTGATAACATTTAAATATGTATCAAAAAGTAAAAAAGGCCATGTAGGTTTAAAACTATTTCTGTTGTTAATATATGAATGAAAATCTGATTTTGAAGCCCCTTTCCAGAAGTTTCTACCATATTGTTACAGGGCATCTTTATTATTTTGGTTGCTAGTATTCACATGAACATTCTGCTGAGGCAAACAGTCAAGGAGGCGCTCCTGTGAGACGTGGGAGGCAGAAAGAAATGGAGGTCATGCTTCGGCTACTTCTGTGGTTTCTGCTGGGAAGCACAGTGAAGAGGTGCTAAGTTTTCCTCAGGAAGCATCCCAGTGTCCTGTTCTCAGCCTCACGAGCATGGAGGGCAGGGTAGGGGCATCCATTTTTGGCCAGTGTAGATCTAATAGGCACAGGACGGATCCAACAGTTGCAGTGGTTGCACCCGTGTTGGCTTTCTGGTTCTCCACCTTCCTGACTGCCAGAGGAGGTGGCTTCTTTGGTGGTCCCATTCTGTGGTGTTTCTTTGGGATCATTACTGGAAGCCCAGCCTGAAAGCCCGCTCCTTCAACCTCCCTGGATTTTGTAAGTACCCGATTCTCTATATTAAATCCCCTTCTGCTTAAAATAGCTGGAGTTGCTCCTATTTTCTGTAACTGAATGATAACTAGTAGGGGGACTAAAATTGTATCTATAATGTTTTATTGCTTTAAAAAAAATTCTGAAGCAAATATGCTAATATATTAATGTTTAAAAAACCTGGATAGTGGGAACATGAAATTCTGTCATATTATGAATTTTAAAAAATGTTTTTATTATAAAATCTATATGTATATGCCCAGTTTTTATAGATTATTGCTTATGCTTTTACTTTTCTACCCAAAAGAGTAACCAGAAATTTTGAAACTGTCATGTAACAGGATTTAAAATAAGATTACACAGAATCTCAACTATACTGTATTTCTAAAATATAAATGTTTAAGGTTATTTTTATTTTATATTTTTATTAATATAGAGAAAATAATTTCTATAAAATATGCTTTCTTCTAATGGGGATCCAGTTCCATATTCTTTTTCATTAAACTCTTATACCAAAAATTGCCTAGTTGTTATAAAAGATGATTGCTCATTTCATTAAAAAAACGTTAAGGCCTTGATAATGTTCAGAAACTTTCATATGAAAATAATATCATGGAAATTAATGACCAAGTAAACTTTCTGTATTAAAATTCTCTTTCAAATTATCAGTAAGAGGAGAATTAGCTTCTTAACCTGATCTTACTTTTCAGTATCTTAAAATGATAAAATAAATTGAGGTGACCACAGCAGATTTAATTGATGCTATAAAACCAATTACTCGGTACTATCTTTGCAACTCTTCTGTAAATCTAAAATTGTTTCAAAATAAAAGTTTATTTTAAAATTACTATTCATTCCCTGTTCAACACCAAACTTATTTCATAATGATGCTTAAATTTTGTTTGTTTTCTTGGAATTTTAGATATTTTTTCTATAAGAGTGCTTATCCTGCTATAAAATCACATTTTACTTAATTCTATTATTTAAACTTGAAGTATTTTTGTTTTAGAAAAATAAAGGATCTGTCTGGAAAGAAAATGGGTTTTTCTTCTTTCAATAACATTTTTAAGCTAATTATTACCTTCTGTATTTCTGAAAAAATCCACTCTAATAGGACTTTCAGATTTCATTATTCTACAAGAGTAGAACACAGTTTTACTTTGAGTGGTATAGAAAAGTTGTGTTGAGCAGGAGCAAACATCTCATCTGCTTTCTTTTCCATATTGTCATGAATTAGGAAGCTCCATTTACGTAAGTTTTTCCTGTATGTTTTAGATCCATAAATTAAGAGAAAAAGACAACTTGAAGTGGCAAAAGAGAACAATGAGAAAAAAATGATTAAAGAGTAAGACAACTGAAGTCATGAAAAACCAGAATTGTTTTCCTGGAAGAGGGATAGGAGAGACCCTAATAATGGTGCTCAACATGTATGAATGTTTTAGTATAAGAGAAAATAACAGGTTATTTTAAATTCCTATTGAGAATTAATTGAATTTAAAGTTTTAAAGTAAGAAATAGGTTTAAACAAGAACAAAAACTAGGGATATAAAGAACTTGCTAACAGTGGAAGTCAGTCATAGTAAAAATAAAAATCTATTTTGTGGGCTGAAAGTTCAGGTGAACTGAAAGTAAAAGAAGGGAGTGTAACTTAGGGAACATTTTAAGAGCCTTCCTTCAAGACAATTTTGACTAGTCACTAGTGGCTTTCTATATCTGGTAAAGAGATCCTTGTCAACCAGCTTCCGTTTCCTCCTGACCTGAAGTCTGCACTGGGCATTCCATTGGGTGACTTGGTCACTAACCTGGGTAGCAGGCTTACAGAGAATTCGGATATATTTTGGTTGCATTGGATAATTCCTTCATGTTAAAAATGTCTGAAGATTGGCACTATCTTACTTACTGATACCTTGGAAGCCCTGGAAAGGAGCAGTCCCTTTGTGTAGGCCTCTTTTCTTGGTCCCACGGGCTGGGATAATTCAGGACGACCTTCTGCACAGGGTGCAGCCCTCTCACGCTGGCTGCAGGTAGAGGCTGCCCAGGTAGAGCTGGCTGGATCACTTGCTGGTAGGCTGCTCGAGGGTAGTCATGGCCATCTGTAGGTGAAGACAACAAAGAGAACAGGGAAGATCAACTCCTTCATTTGACAGGAGAGGTAATCCCAGTGCAAATTCTTGTCTCAATACCAACCAAGGGGTCCAAATATCAGTTACCACCTGTGTGATGTTTGCCATATTTCTATACTATTACTTGCTTGATAGTTTCCTTTAAATTGATTCCCTTTTTTCCTAAATAAAAACACCTGTGAAATCACAAGTTTGGGATTCTAATTGGAAAGTTCAAAGAACTTTTAAAAAAAAAAAAAACTCCACCCAGGTTCCTATTGTAATAAGATACTTGGGATAACCCAACCATGAAGAGCCTCTCCCACACCACCATTCCTACCATAATTCCCCAAGAGTCTAGAACCCAAGGGTAGGAGAAATTATTCCTGTGTTAGATTTGGAATCACTACTCTCTCCTTTCCTTACCCAAGTGGACACTCATGTACACCACTCCCTCATAAGAAGTAAATGAACGAAAACTTGGCTCATCCTTCTGGGAAGTAGCCTACCAATTGGGAGCACCCTCCAACTTCCTTGGTCCTCTCCTGCTAGAGCCTACATGCACTTAGGGTCAGAGCAGTTTGAAAAGGGCAGGGCTCAGAGCAAAGCCAGGGCTGGCAGTGACTTGTGTGAATGTGTGACCTAGGAGAACGTTGGTCCCAGCCAGGCCCAGGAGCAGCAGAGTCCCCAAGAAAGAAGGGCAGCCTATCTCTGGTAAAGTGAGAGAATAGAATTGAAGGCCAGAGGAGACATGCAGGGAACCCAGTAAGGGTGAGAGAGGAGGGCTCGGAGGGAATGGCCCAGGCCCAAAGGCTGAAGTGTTGGGAAATCTGAGATGAACAAAGGGACTGGGGAGAGCCAGGTGGGTAACCCTGCAAAATGAACCATGAGCGCTTCCTGGTGGTCCAAGCACAACCACCTCTGCCCAGTGAAGAAGTAGGATGATCCAGGGTGCATAACTAAACAGGACACGAAGGAACCTGTTTTTTTTTTTCTTTAAAAAATATTTATTGGTCTTAATTCTTTTTCTGATTATAAAAGTAATAATCAAGTTTGTCTGCTGTGTAAGTAGGATACATGCAGGGATGTATAGTAAAACTTAACTGGCAAGTAAGCAAAAAAGTAGCAGGTGAGGAAGATCGGAACTAGAATGCGGAGGGCAAGAATGTGGCTAAGATCTGTATTCTTAGTTTGGCAAGCAGTCAGGAGCCGCTGAAGTCTTCAAGGGAACATTCAGGGAAGTGATGGTCCCAAGTATAGAACGTAAGACAAATAGTCTGTGTGTTCACTAGTGTGGCTGCCTCCAGGTCTCCACTGTCTGGACTCTGGGAACTTGGTTGGGTAACCGGGGCAATGTGCCCAATCTAGTCTCTCAAGCCTGGTCAGATATTCTGGAGTCAATCTATTGTCTGCCTTGACCCATGACACCATCTGGATCCTCCCTGGTAAAAGTGGCCATGCCCCTCCAACCCAGGTTGTCTCCTGGCCCTCACCCCCTGACCCTGGCCTCGCTATTGCTTAGGGCTGGTCATGACAATTGGTGGTGGTTTAAGGAAGGGGAGGAGGAGAAAGTGATCTGCCTGGGCCTGTCCCAGCACCTGGCTGACGAAGGGGACTTGGAGAACAGCTCTAAGAATGGGGTGATAGACAAGTTATACCACACAGGCTTTGCCTCTGCAGCTTTCTTAGGGCAGGCTAGATGTATTCCAGGGGGTCCAGATCGCCAGCTGGAGTTTTAGGGCCACAGGGCAGGTCACTACTGCTGCTCCTTTTTTCCAACTGGAAAACAGGAAAAACTGCTGCAGCTATTAGGTCCCCTGGCAGAGGCCAGCCCTGCTTTTAGGTGAGCCTTGCGTGAGTGGACCATTTGCAGTCCCAGTGGTAGGCACACCCCTCCAGAGATCTTCCATTGCACTTAAAATCCACCCTGCATGGTCAGGTCCCTGCCTTCCTGAGCTTGTCTCCTGCTATGCTCTTACTGGCTTACCGAGCCCTGGGTTCATCTTAACACTCCAAGCTTGTCCCCACCTTTGGGACCCTGAGTTTGCCATCCTCTTTGCCCAGAACGTTTTTGCTCTAGATCTTCACAGACTGACTTCTTGCTATTCAGTCCTCAGACCAAACACCACCTGTTCAAAGACACCCGCCCCTTTACAAATTTACTTTATCTCATCCCTTATTTTATACTATTTTCTCCATAGCTCCTAGCATGGGTTTGCGTAAGTAGGCATGAGTTTTACTTGTCGGCTTCTTGCCTGCCTCCCCTCCTACAATATAAGCTCTGCGAAGGCAGGGACTGTGGCCGTTTGCCACCGTGTCTCCAAGCAGAGTGCTGGTACCCAGGGGATGTTCAGTAAATGAATGAATGAAGTCTGAATAGTTACAAAGCCAACTGACCACTCAGAAAAAGAGAAGCCGTTTAGGACTGCATAGTCTGCTTGCTAGGCCACGGGTCCCCTAGTCTACTTCTCATCTGCTGCGCATTTGAGGGCTTCTATCAGTGTCCCTCTTCAACAGTTGGAAGGACAAAGACAAGGTAAAAGAGGAGAAACTTTGCCAGTGGCCTCAAAAGCTTTTACAAGGAAAGGGCCTGATAGTAACTCAAGAGAAGTTCTTAATGTTTGAAGCCATTTTTGCTTCCCATATCCATTAATGAGTGGCTAATAATGTTTTATTTGCTTTAAAAGGACTACCAAGCTCCAATCATAGGGTTTGTTTCTTTTTCAGAAAGTGGATGTTAGTGCTGTTAATCAAAAGCCTTTGAATCAAGGTCATATGATTTCTAACAGATTATTTCCCGCACAACATGTTTTTGTCTCATAGCAACAAATCATATCATTAAAATCACTAAAGCATGTAGGCTAAGTGTTTGATTAGCTGTAACTTTCGTTTCTGAAATGGCCACCTGTGGTAAAAAGTGAGACCGGTTTATGTAAGTAAGCAGATGAAAATTATCCACCTCATCGATTTTTAAAAATTAGGGTACTGATGATGTAGTCCTCCATGCTGTCCTTTTATTGTTTAAAACAAAGAAATATTGAATGTCAGAGGATCAATCATAAATAAGCATTCCCTTTTGTAAGAGAAATTTGACTGGTTTTGTCTGAAATTTGGTTGTATGGAAAAGTTGCTAAATAAAACTATGTTTATCAGGTAAATTAACATCTTTTCACTGCTCAAGTTGTAATCATTCTATTCCATTATTATGACCAAGGCTCGCTAGTTTAGTTGGGTACTAGAGATATAATAATGGCTAACATTTATTAATCACTTGCTACATGCCAAGTACTATTTAGGTTCCTTATTTGGGATTATAGAGTTCGATTTTCTATTTTCCTAAAGAAGTTTAACTCAGAATAAAATGCAGATTCCTCATCATGGCCCTTGCATCCTTCATTTTCCAGCACATCATTCTCCCCCTGCTCACCCTGCCAGCTTGCTTTGGTACCTTAATGACACCAATTCTCGCTTCCTTGACCTTCTCATCCTCTAGGTTTCAGCTCAAATGTCCACTCAAAGAGACATTCCCTGGCCACCATGTCTATTAATGTCTGTTCCAACACCCAGTTATTTCCTTTACAGCACTTATAATTTGTCATTTTGTTTGCTGATTTCTACTTCTTGTCTGTCTCTCCAGTAGCCTGTGAACTCCATGAAGACAAGGACCATGTGTGTTGTGTTCACCATTGTATACCCAGTGCCGAGCAGGGGACCTGGCAAATATCTATTGAATAAATTGATAAATGAATGGACAGGTCCTCTTCCCAAATCCTATCGACCTCCCTCCTTTCCTTCCCTCGCAGACAATTAAAGATGGCCTTTCCAAAGCTTGACAAAGACTCTACTCATGATTAGGGATCACTCCTTTCCCAGGGAGGTAGAGAACAGATTTCTTTTTATTCATTCAACAAATATTTATTGAACCTCGACAACTAGGCGCTTGGTGAACAAAGACAGATAGGATACAGTTCCCTTGAGTAGCTCAAAATAAATGGAGAGAGAAAGAGAGAAAATCTGTGTGTCTGTGGGTGTCTGTTTTTAAACACAAACCCACACTAGTTAGCGTGTGAGAAGGGGAGGCATATGAGTCGACAGCCATCTACTTAAGAATCCTTGCTCACAAATAACTTCCCTGTGGACTAGTTCCCTGTGCCTAAAATTCCATCAAGGGAGTTTACTCTGTAGGAGACGGAAGGTGGGTGGTGTGATAGACAAATGATTTGTTAGTTCTGAGGCAGTGTTAATCCCAAAACAAAAATGAAAACCTTGCACAATCACAAATGAGCGGCCAGTACTGCATGTTATTTGTCAATCCTGTGATCCTCTTGGCCTGGGTACACACAGTCTGCATGTTACTGGGCTTTTACCACTCGGAATTTGTAAACCAAATCCTAGACAAGGTTTTTCCATTTATCAATCAAAACATTCTACATTTTTCTTCCCTATTAAGAATGGTATTAATAGAGTTTATGAGGGAGAAAATAAAATCTGATTTTCAAGCTGTTAAAAAACATCATGATATAATGCGATCGGTTTAGCCAGAAAACAAAATGGCCAACATAAACTGTTACAGGAACTCCCGCAGCTGCACGCAGCTGTGGTTCTTGAAAGGCAACTCCTTCTTTATCGTTTCATTCATCTGGTTTACTTTTTCCGTACTTTAATTGTGCATGCATTCTAGCATACAATAATCACATTTTTTGGTCCACAGGAGCAATGATAGCTGTGTACCCATAGTTTTATTTTATTCAGTCTCCTTGGTAGAGAAAGCAAAAATTTCATAATAAGGTAAGGGCTCTTTAGACTTAATCCCTCTTTTTTTCCCAGTATATTTGCGTCGTAGGTTTTATGTGATCGCACAGCCATGAACTCTATTCCAGTGCCCTTCAGTGGAAGGATTCTGAGGCAGTAGGAGGCCGACTTCTCCAGGGGGTGGGGTGAGGAGAAAACACAGGCTTATTCCCTTTCTCATTTTCACCTGCTTTGAAAACTTTTTTTTCCTTTTACATGAAAGGGGTGACCAGTACCCATTTTTGCTTTCACTTGCAAAAAGCTAAAATATGCCATTTGCATGGCGATCATTATTTATTTATATATTCATTAATGGGTAAGGAAGTAATGCTCTTCTAAAGCTGAGTAGAGCCACGTAGCCATGGTTTCCAACTGCACAAGCATCCCTTAAGTGAACAGCTCATTTGAAGTGATTTTGTTGGCAATTAAGTGCAGTTATAGCCCTGACATGAAACTAAGCATTTGTACACCTGCTCTGAATGCTTAAAATCTGTGCCAGTGAGAGGAATCTGGAAGTAGAGGGGCACTCTGCAGGACTGGGCTGCAGGGTCCATTTAAATAATAACAGTAATAACTAAAAGCTCCTAGTATTGAGGGCTTACTACCAGCCAGCCACTTTCCTAGTGCCTTTAATACATTATCTCATTTAATCTTCACAGCAACCTTTGTGGGAGTCATTGCTGCTGGAAGCCTCTTGAATATTCTGGGGTTGCAGTGCCCTGCAGAAAAACCGTATGTGCTGGGCAGCCCTCACCCTCTTCCCTGGAATTAGAAGCCCTCGGTGGCCGGGCCAAGGCACACGCAGGGTGAGCGAGGGCGAGCTCACCTTCTGCACACTCTCACTTCCCCTTATATTTTCTTTTCAAGTTTTACCTATTTTTAAATTATGGAAGTAATATTTGTTAGCAGCAAAAAACAAAACAAAATAAAATTAGCAAAAATATATAAAGTTAGAAGGAAAATATCCCTGTCTGCTCTTCATTCCCTGTTTCCCCCTCCCCCATGATCGCTGTGAACAGCTGGGGTGATCCTTCTAGACTTTTTAACACATACCTATAAACACATATAGTTTTTAAAAATTAGCACGTGTGGGATCAATACTGCATTTCATGCATTTCAGCTTAATCTTTTTTATGTCAGAATGTGTAGTTTAGCCTGTGTAACATGGGCCTAGCAGCCCATCACATAAATAAATCACAAACTGCTTATCTCACCCCTTATTCATAGGCATTGTAGTTTGCATTTTTACTCTAATACAACAATGCTTTAACAAACATCTTTGTTCACGTATTTTTATATGCTTGTTCAATGTTCTATAAGATAGATTCCTACAAGTGAAACTGCTGGGCCAAAGAAGAAGCACATATAAAATTTTGATAAAGTGAAATTACCTTCCAGACAATTGCACCAATTTACACTCCTACCAGGAGTGATTGGGTGTATTCATTTCCTTATAATCCCATGAATACACTGGCTGTTGCCCAAGGTTTTTATTTTTGCACACCTTATCTTTAAAAATTTTGCACTTCTTAAATCTAGTGATACTAAGCTTAGTTTCATATGCCTAATGGCTGTTTGTGTATCTTCTGTGAATTACCCCAGTCTCCTGTCCAAGTTCTCTCCTCTCCATCTTTCAACACCTCTCTTCACTCCCAGCATCCTGGACGTCCCTGCAATGCTCACCATAGCGTATAACACAGAGAGAGCAAGGGGAAGGCGAACGGATGAAAGAAAGCAGGTCCTGAGGTAATAGAAACAAGAAGTGTTCCCACTTGGGAGTGTTTGCCTTTTCACGGAGCCTGCCCCGAGGGGCAGTGCTTACTCTAAAGACTGGATTGCTAATGCTGCCATTTCAGGCTTCAACAACAGGAAAAATATTTTCCAGTGGGAAGGTCTTCATGGTGCCCTTATTTTAATATTGAGTCAATGCTGTTTTGGTCTATCACAATGAGGCTTTCTCCTGTTAGTAGGTAACGTCAACTGCTTGGGACTGTATCACAAAGCCTTTGACTAAGTATTCATACTTCTGCACGTTACTCTAAGGAGTTAATCAGAAATGCAGATAAAAATTTATATGCACGATGTTTGTCATAGCATTGATTGTTGAATCAGAAAACTGGAAACTTTAAAATGTCCAAATGTCCAACAATAGACAATAGATTAGTAACAATTTGGTCTGTCCAATGATGAAATATGATGCATTATTTTAAAATGATGCTAGAAGTACAATGTCATTGGAAATTATTTTAATTTTATATTAAATATATAGGCAAAGAAAAAAATACCAGAAGTAAATGCATCGAGAAGCTAACAAGGAATTATATTTGGGTGGTAGAAATATCAATACTTTTAATTTTCTTTTTCAAACTTTTGGGCATATTTTAATTTTGGGGGGTGACCAAATATTACTGTTATGATCAGAAAAATCATCTTTTTTTTTGAGACAGTCTAGCTTTGTCACTCAGCCTAGAATGCAGTGGCATGATTATACACTGCAACCTCAAACTCCTGAGCTTGAGCAATCCTCCTGCCTCAGCCTCCCAAGTAGCTAGGACTACTAGCTAGGACATTTTTCTATAAATGTACCACCATGCCCAGTTAATTTTTAATTTTTTTGTAGAGACGGGGTCTCACTATGTTATCTAGGCTGGTCTCAAACTCCTGGGCTCATGCGAGCCTCTCAGCTCAAGTGAGCCTCTCACCTTGGCCTCCAAAGTGTTGGGATTACAGGAGTGAGCCACTATACCCGGTCCCTCTCTTTCTTTTATTAAAAAAAAATTATGAATTACTATATTGCTTCATTCACTTTAGGAAGCTTTATACAGAGTGTACAAGTACCAATACATAAAATTTATTATAGCATTTGTGATTATTTCCATCATTTATTTTAAAGCTGGTCATCAGGCCTTTGGGCAGACTCTTCCTACACTATTTGAAACTACTTTTTGTTCACTGTTTATTTGCTAGGAATAAACATCACACCTCACAGGCCTGTGTTTCTTCTGTAAAGCCCTATTATTATTTTCCAGTGGCCTCAGCAGAGATTTAACATCAAGAATGGTGATGGACCTTTCATCTCAATCTAAGACTTTATTACTTTCAGAGAGGCTTACTGCACTGATGGACATTGTTCATTCACTCAGAAGGAGTTTATTGAAAGTCTAGTATATGCCAGGCATTGTGCTAAATGCTGGGGAATTATGAATTGAGAGTAGAGCTTTGCTGATGTGCAAAGCTTGCGGTCTGGAAGGAGAGGAGACAACTATATCATTAGATGCCATACTGGTGTCAACTGTCCCAACAGAGCCAGAGCACAAGGGAGACAGAGGGCCTAAAGGACAGAGTGATCTGAGGTTTCCAGAGGGACACTTGAGCTAAATCTTAAAAAATATATATGCTGGTAGCTGTATAACTCTGTAAATATACTAAAATTCATTGATTGGTACACTTAAAATGGGTAAAGGGTCAACTTTCCCAGTATGTCAATTAAATCACAATAACACCATTAAAAAAAAAAAAAGATGTATGGAAACTGGGTCGAATGCACAGGAGGGGAGACCACAATGGGTAGAGAGAAGAGTAGGGGCAAATGAATGGAGATGTGGGACAGCGTGACAAGTTAGGGGCCTGCCAGTCTATGTAGGGTAGATGTGGACAGCTAAGTCTCCAAAGGGGTTTAAGCAATAGAATCCCAGGAGTGACTTCATCTCCATGTAATGGCATGAATCCAAGAGTCTCAGTGACACTCTGGGCACCTTCTGGGCATTTTTTGTTTTGTTTTGTCTGTGACTAAAAGCCCTTTCTGTGCCAAGCCTAAGATGGGAAAGAAACATGAAGAGAAGGACGAACCTAGGTGCCTAAGAATTAGAACAACACATAAATTTTCTAGAAATCATTTGGGTCATCTCCTTGCTTCTAGACATGCTTCAGTTAAACTAACCCTGACAGAGGAATCTGTTTTGTCCTTAAAGTTTCCTAGAGAAGGAGGTTCCAAGTGGGAAGGGCTTTAGGCTAAGAAAAAGCATTCTCTAAAGGCCCCTTGCAAATCCAACCACACATGGGAAGCCCCCTGAGAAGCAGAAGGCCCTCCCTGCGCTCTGACCTGTCTGCTGGTCTAGTGATGGGAAGCACTGATGCGAGGCCCTTGTTTCCTCCGTCACCCAGCCCAGAAGGTCCAGAGCAGGTAAAGATCACTTACATGGCGGCTGGTGATCGGGATTTCCGGGACAATGGTAATGATAGTTCCACGGAGCGTGCGGGGGAGGATTGGGAGGCAGCACCTGTGCACACGCTGGATACCTCTGAGGTTCAAACTGATGGAACTCCCAGGACCTGAGAGGTCTGGGGAGGTCCTGGGGGTAACACATGGAGGTGAGGGGCAGGGGCCTTTCCAGCTGCCTGATGCCCAGGACATCCTGGGGCTGGGAATCATACCCCGTGTCTGTCGTAGGCAGATCCAGGGCTGCCCGGTTCCTGTGGGGCTGGGGCCGTTGCACCATCTCTTGGCTACTTCCCAAGGAGTCTGCTGAGGCATTAGGTAAACTTTGGTCTGATTTGTTTGAGTCATGACCAGTGTCAGGAGAAGCTGCTGAAAGCTGAGATTGATTACGTTTTTCCACAAATGAAAACTGATGCTCTGGAGGGAGAGCTCCAACCACAGACTGAGACGCAGGCTTGCTGGCTGTAGAGCAGCCTGAGGGAAAATCTTTGCCTGGGTCTGGGTGTCTCCTGCAGAAGCTGTCTTCACTGTCCTCCAGAACTTTCGTGCGCAGGCAGGTGAACTGCTGGGACACGGGCCGCTGGGGATTTGCAAGTTTCAGGGGTGGGTGAGCTTGAGAAAAGTCTGCGGAGGAATAGTGAGGGGCTTGGGGTGCAGACAAGCTATCAGGTGCCATGTTCCTTATATTTGGAGCAGGTGGTTCTGATTCCTCTTCCAGGGAATATTCTGGGATTGGTTTCAGCAACTGACTTGGGTATGGTTCTGATTCATCAACCTCCACAGGAATGCTTCGGTTCATTCTAGTTTCTGGAATGAGAGAAAACATGCCATGGCCTCAGAAGACAGATCAATTCTTGGAGTCCCTACTTTATGACCTTAAGGGACCTCGTTCAGGATTAACAGTAGTGTGACACCAATGTGCTTGCAGAGCCCCAATCACATAAAATTGTTTACTTATCCTCCAGGCAAGAGCACTAATGCTTATTAAGATATTTTATCTGGAAGGCAATTCAAAGAATGTGGCTGGACCATCCTGTGGTGGAAATCATTCACCAGCAAGGGGGAAACACAGATGAAAATCAGCTGCCGAGTACTGAGGGAAGAGAAATTATCATAATGTGGGCTGCTCGTGTGTGTTTGGAATACATGATGAAATAAATCTCAGTAACTGATATGGAATGGTCTCCAAGATATATTAAGTGATTTTAAAAAATGCAAGGTGCAGAATAATTTTGTGTTAAAAAAATGAGAGGGGAAGATGTATGTGTATGTTTGTATATGTGTCTCTGCTTGTATATGTGATGTGTGGAGGACACATAGACATTGGTACATTGGTTGCCTTTGAGGATGGAACTAAGCTGGGGGAGAGGATTGGGAGGGAGTTTTCATCTTTTGAACTTTTAAAATTTTGCTCCATTTGACTACTGCCTAATTAAAAAAATAAATAAAAGGTTTTTGAAAAACAAATAAAGAAAGCCCACGTATAAAACAAATTGAAAAAAGTCACAGCGACATTTTCCACTTAGGTCATCTCGAGGACTTAATTCCCTCTGGGCGCTACACCTGCAAAGAAGGTAGCCGCAGCCATCTGGTTCGTGGTGCGGCAGTTGAATCAGCGAGGCTCGCGAAACTAGCCTTTAGCCTACGGTCCAGGCAATGTTGCTTTTATCTATAAAAATAGAACTCTTAATCAACCTAACAGAATGAAAGAGAAAACGACCCTCCCCTTTTCATGAAGTTGGTTGAGATGATGTGTCGGCTGAAGGGGAGAGAGGAGGCGGGCTGGGGGGAGGCTGCACGGGCCCGCTGGAGGTTTGCAGAAGCTGCGAGCAGGTGTCGTAGCAGAGCAAGCCGGCAAGTGAAAAAGGAAAAATCCCAGAGGTTCATTCTGTGCGAGGCCTTGTACATAGCATACTTCAAATACCAGAGAGAGAAAAGGGATTGTGTGTGGATTGTTAAATTCTTCCTTTGGATCCATGCAGCATTTCAACCACAAACGTTTACTGAAGGCTTACTGTGCTTAAAGTCACAGAGAACCTAAATTATTGTTCTAAGACCTTAGTTTTAAAGAACGTGAATTCACTTTCTCTTGCTCCCCGTACCCAATCCAATGGGAACGTGACAGCACGCATTTTGAAACGCTCCCCCTTCGCAGAGGTGGGGACAGCAGTTTGCTCCCGAATGTATTCTAACTGCCTATAAAAAGATACCCCTCTGCTCCCTGCCAAATGAACACTTAGACACTTCTCTCACCTCACTCGGTGTCCGACTTACTCACCTGCTGCACAACAACCCTTGCTCTGTTTCTGCCACAACAGAAACCTCCTTCAGTGTCTAACGTCTGGCTGGCCCTCCCTCCTTCCCCAGACGTTCCCTTCCCCCGTCTGCCTCCTTTCCAGGCTGCGCACACCCTTGCTCCTTGGCTCTGCAGAAAAGAGAGCTCATCACCTAAAGTGATTAGAAATCACTGAAGTGAATAAGAACTAACCAAAAAAAAAAAAAAAACAACCAAATATTTCGACTTTTTATTATTTTAAAATGTTCATCATTGTTTTCCTTTCTTACAATTCTTTACAGCTATGAAATTGAATATGCTGTACAACATGCGCTTCAGCTGGTCAGGAAACAAAAGCGTTTTCTCAAGGGCTGGCTGAGTGTTGTGTAATCTCCTGCATGCATCTGTGGGCCACAGCTGAACGGGCAGCACAGAGAGGCACAAAGCGAGCCAACTAACAGGAGGACTGAATTCTGTCCACTATGTCTTGTCATGGGCTTCATTTTCATCACTTGCACTTCAGGTACAACTGTTTATATTATCCCTGCGTTTTCAAATGTGAATACCTTCAAAGTGCTTCCCTATCAAAAAAAAAAGTTGCAAATTCTACTCTTCTGGCTGAGAGACCTTCATGGGCTTGAAGGAAGCTAAAAAAAGAAATCGGTGATGAGTGTGGTCATCTCGTATAACTGGGAATCTGAGGTCCATCCCGTGGCGGGGATTCTACAGTTAAAACTGGTCTGAAAAGGAATATATAGCCCTTCAGATGATAGTAAATAAACCTGGCAAGGCAATGAATGACCTCTTAGTAAATATATGGGATTAGTAATCTTTAAAAAAACAAAATGGACCCTGATGTTTCAAACATTTCACTGTCAAATACTTCAACAGCAAATAATTACTAAGCCCGACTATGTGTCCAACTCTATGCTGTGTGTCCCCCTTCTGAGGTACAAGCTCAACTAAATTTTTTTTTAGTTTTTAAATATCTTATAAGCGATACAAAATTCAAGAGGTACAAAATGGTATACAGTGAAATGTAATCAAAATTATTTCTAAAGACATATAAAACATTATTTCTACTTCAAGTTGCTCCTGATCCAGCTCAAGGGAGAAAACTAACATACAGAAAAACCAAAGGCCCTACCTCAGGGCCTTTGTATGTGTTGTTCCTGCTTCATGGGACACTTCATGGGACACTAAATTCCTGAATTCCTTGTTTGTTTATTGCCTCTTCCCTCCCTCCAGAATGTAGACATCATGAGGACATGATTTTAGACGATTCTATTCACGACAATATTCTTGACACCTAGAACTGCTCCTGGCACACAGTAGGTACTCAATAATGGTTTGTTGAATGAAAAAGCAATCGATGCCTGTTTCAGAGAGGGACATATCCACGTATCTAGAAGGGCTGCTGACAGTGAGAATGTCAGGCTCCATGGCAGGTTGCAAGGAGTATCTGGTGGGCCTAGTCCTCAAGGTTCTTAAAATAATGGCACATGGGTGACCTTCCCTCTTCTCTTTTTTCCTCTCCCAAATATTTATTAAATGCCCACTATGTGCCATGCCCCCATGGTAGGTCTGGGGCATGCCTATGAGGTCTTGCCCATGGACAGGGTTGACTACAACCCTTACTTGGCCAATAAAAGTGGTTCCACCAGCCACTGTGATGGCAGCATCTGCTCTTTGGCTCCAGGCAGGGAGGTGCTGGTCTGTTCAAGCATCTGCAGAGCTTTGGCCAGAAGAAGGAGGGTGGGGCATGCCTGCCACTACTGCATGGGCCCCTCCCAGGCCCAGACTCCCGCCAGGACTGGCAGGATGTGGCCAACCCTGCCAACCCTTCCAAGCCAGTCACAGAGAACAGTTATACGCAAAGCCACACCAGGGAGACATAGGCAGATTAGTGGGGTATGCTGAAGAGGGCAGTTTTATCTGTTTTTTCTTTAATGTCAATATTGTAAAAATACTATGCATTTAAAAAAAATCGGTCAGTGTCTCACCATTGCTAACCATTTCCATTTTCCCCTGTTTTCTTCCAGGCCTTCTCCATACACTGTCTACATGGTGATAACACTGGTGTGGCCTGTGCTCCAGTGCCTAAGAGAGGGTGGCACCTGGATTGAAGTGGAAAAGCCGTGTTTTCTGGCCATGACCTAGGGAGAAAGCACTGACCCCCAAGGGGGACAGAAGACCTGCCAGCTAGGGCCCTGGAGCTGTGGTGCTGGCAATGCCATGGGTGGTCTTGAGCTCATCAGCACTGTGGCAAATCCCTGGGGGACAGGAGAGGCCGGAGGGTGAGGAAAACCAGGGAGTTTCTGGTGCAGAATCCCCCTCTGAGGCTCCTGATACAGAGGCCCAGGCCCCACACCTAGAAACTCCAAGGTGGGGCCGGGCTTCCCTGTATTATGTTCTAAGTCCCACAGGTAAAGACATTCTCTCATATTTTGCTAAGGGGAATGTATTGATCTGTACAATTTGACAATAACTATCAGAATTTAAAAAGCTTATGCCCTCGACCTAATGATTTCCCTTCCGAGAACTTTCTCTACACAGATATGCACATATTGTGTGAAATGAAAAGGCTATGAAGACAGGCAAGGCAACAATCTTTATAACAGCAAAGACCAGAAACAACCCACATGTCCAAAAAGGTTTTTTGTGTTTTGTTTTTTGTTTTTGAGATAGGGTCTCTCTCTGTTGCCTGGTACAGTGGTATCATCAGAGCTCACAGCAACCTCAAATTCCCAGTCTCAAGTGATCCTCCTTCCTCAGCCTCCTGAGTAGCTGGGACTACAGGTGTGCAATACCACGCTCAGCTAATTTTTCTATTTTTTGTAGAGACAAGGTCTTGCTGTGGTGCTCAGGCTGGTCTCGAACTCCTGGCCTCAAGTGATCCTCCGGCCTCGGCCTCCTAAAGTGCTAGGATTACAGGCATCATGCCCAGCCAAGGTTCTGACTTTTTAAACTGTGGTACATTTGTACAACGAATACCCCGCATCCTTTAAAAAGAATGAGGAAGTGCTGTGTAAACTGAAATGGAACTATCTCTAAGATTTAAGGATTGATTGATTGGTTTTTTAGTATAAGATCTTGCTCTGTTCCCTGGGCTAGACTGCAATTGCTTCATCATAGCTCACAGCAACCTGAAACTCCTGGGCTCAAGCGATCCTCCTGCCTCAGCCTCTCGAGTAGCTGGAACTACAGGCGTGTGTCATCATGTCCAGCTAATTTTTACATTTTTTGTAGGAACAGGCTCTTGCTATGTTGCTTAGGCTGGTCTTGAACTCCTGGTCTCAAGCAATCCTCCCTCCTCGGGCTTCCAAAGTGCTAGGATTACAGGCGTGAGCCACTGCACCCAGCCTCTAAGATTTATTTTTAAGTTAAAAAAAAATTAAAGAGTGCAACAGTGTGTAGGGTATGCCATCCTTTGTACGATGTAAGATTGTATATACATCTGTCATCTTGTAAGAAATTAGGAGAGTGGTTGTTTCTGGGAAGGGAACTGGATGACTAAGAATGGAGCAGGAAG